AACTAAGTGTGTGTTGAGGTCCCTTCCAACTCAAACCATTCTATGATTCTATGATCTGCTTCCAGTCCTTAGTTCATAAGGAGAGTGTTCAAGCAGAGACATAAAATGGCAAAATCTTGTTCTCTTTTTTTTCAGTGGAGGCAGTGAGCTGGATATTAGGAAAGCCCAATAACCCCTGGTGTGGGTTGTTGCCATGGCTGCAACACTTCTTTTCTCTTTTCCACTTTACATATCGTGCCTCCATTTCGATATATGTTTGTTCACTGTTTAAGTCAACAAGGGTGCTAAATTCCACCAGGTGCTGAGCCCTCATTTTCTCGGGGTCTGCAATGCTATGTGTCCACAGACCAAATGCCACACACCTGTGACAGCTTTGTCTCCCACTGCCATGTCTGCCAAGAACTGGTGTACTGGCACAAAAAAGAGGCTGCCTCCTGCAGCCAGTTGCATCCTCTGATGAGGCCGTGAGCAAGTATTAAAGAGAAGAGGAGGCTCCGGGGTGACCTTATAGCAGTCTTCCAGTACCTCAAGGGGGCCTACAGGAAAGATGGGGAGAGGCTATTCAGGAGGGCCAGTTGTGATAGGACAAGGGGTAATGGTTTTAAAATAGAGGGAGGTAGATTCAGGTTGGATATTAGGAAAAAATTTTTTACCATGAGAGTTGTAGAACACTGGAACAGGTTGCCCAGAGAGGTGGTGGATGCTCCATCCCTGGAGACGTTCAAGGCCCGGTTGGATGAGGCCCTGAGCAACCTGATCTAGTTGGAGATATCCCTGTTCCTTGCAGGGGGGTTGGACTAGATGACCTTTGAAGGTCCCTTCCAGCCCTAACCATTCTATGATTCTATGATTCTATAATGCAGTGAGTGAGTGGTTTTAAAACTGCCTTGTCTTTGTTATTTGATCACATACTGTGTTCTGCAACATTTTTACTCAGTGGTTATGAAAACTATTGGATCCCTTTGTTAATGAGAAACCTAACAAATTATTCATTTGTATCAATTAATGAAAAAGTGCTGACAATTCACACAGTAACACCATAGAGAGCAATACTGTTAGGAGGAAAACTTGCCAGAGGATTAGTAATATGTGAGGTGGCTGTGTTCAACCATATGAATACTTACTGCGTTCCAGTTGCAGGCCAACACGGGAAGGGTACCACTGGGGACCTGTTCAAATCACAAAGCATGGCTGTTAATTTCACGGTGGAGGATCTGAATTTCTCTTTCTGTTAGTATTCTTTTTAGCTGATAGCTACAAATGCGAGATTTAAAAAAAAAAAAAATCCTCTCTTTCAGTCTCAGCTATGCAAGGAGAATACAAGAGAGCTAGGAGGAGCACACAATGCACACATGAGAGCAGAAATCCCTTCTCCCCAGCTGAGTGTTGGAAGGGCCAGTCTCAGTGCTGAATGCTCCATCAGTGCGTGAAAAATGGGTGCATGCGCGCACCACTGGGAAGTATAAAGCAGACCCTGTTTATTACTATATTTGCCAAAACTCCACACTAAATGTGTCAGTCTTGCCCCTCCCTCCAAAACGATGCTTGTTCTACAGTGTGGCTCAAAGAGGTTGTTTTTTCCCATTTAGGAATATAAAACCTGATTAGGGATGTGCAGCTAGCACTAGTTCTTAATCATGGATTAATCAGGCAAATAGAGACACAACAAGCAGAGGCAGCTGGTTTTAGGGCTAACCTGGCATGTTTTAGGGCTGACCATGAGCAGCCTGGGGAGACCTTACACAGCCCATGGTGTTGGCTGAGATTTGGGCAGCACAGTCTGACAGGGGAAAGGGGGGGAACAGCTGCACTATCACCACCCCCAGCCATTTCTACTGCATTTGTCTTTATTTCCTTTGACATACCTTAGGACAGTTGATAGCCTGAAAGAGATTTGCTTTGTCTCTTCAATTCAAAGTCTGGGTGAAATTGGTCAAATATAGCCATGGTTTTCTTTTGACCTGTCTTACAATTGTTAGTATTCCCGTATTTAAGATACCAATATTCCTGTACCTTAAACAAATTAAAAAACCGAATTCTTCACAGTGACCGTGATCAAATGTGGGAACGTTTGTCCCGAGAAGCTGTGGGATCTACTTCCCTGGAGACAGTCAGGCCTCAGCTGAGGAAGACCCTGAGCAATCTTATAGGACTTGAAAGTTGACCCTGCTCTGAGCAGGAGCCTGGACCAGATGAGCTCCAGAGGTTGCTTCTACCATAACTGTATTTCAGGATGATCAGGAGAGCTTGTTGACCCCAGCAGCTGCCAGCTGGAGGGGAAGGGGAACTGTACACAGTGTGCACTGCACCCACTGTGCAGTGGCACCCAGCACACTCTCATTTCAAAAGCACTTGGTCTGAGTTTTGTAGGCAAGAACAGCTATTAGATGAACCCATGAACCAGGGCTAATAGCAGGAGGTGAGACATCCATCAAGTAAATCACAAATATTTTTTTTCAAGGTACCACAACAATCCATGGCTATTAAAGATAGCAAAAGGAAGATAGAGAAAGAGCAGCTGTCTGACTTGTCAAGGAAGATATGATTTGCTCCAGGACAGCAGATATCAATAGTTATTTGGGAGCCTGAAATGCGATGTACTTGTGTTAAATTGGAATCTTCCCCCCAGTCCCCCCACCTCATATTACAGTATGTTTCAATAAAAGCCAATTTACCTGATCCTGTGGCAATGTGCTTTTAGGTATGGCTCATAATCTTCACAAGGGCAAGCAGAGGTTGTGCATTTAAGCACGTCATCCCACATTTCCAGTCCTTTAGCCTCAGTACACCGTTACGTTCAAACACACTCAACGACTCAGACAGATGGAAATGTGCTTTTGCTGCTGCTTGTCTGCAGTGACCTTGTTATCACACCACTGTGTCTCTCTGGTTTCCACACCATCCTTGGGGTGTATTTTGCTGGAGGGACCTGGAATTAGCTGTTGGGATATTCCTTCCCACCTTTTACTGTTGATGGGGGGCCGCTAGCTAATGTCAAGTGGAAATGCTATGCAAATGGGTTATGGGACAAATTCAAAACACGTTGCTATT